TCCAGATCCCTTTGTAGTTCTGCCTGGTCTTCGATCGAGTGAATTCTTCTCATCAACTTCACGTCATCTGCAAACAGGGACACCTCAGAGTCTATTCCTTCCGTCATGTCGTTCACAAATACCAGAAACAGCACTGGTCCTAGGACTGACCCCTGTGGGACCCCGCTGGTCACAGGTGCCCACTCTGACACCTCGCCACGTACCATGACTCGCTGCTGTCTTCCTGTCAAGTATTCCCTGATCCATTGTAGTGCCTTCCCTGTTATCCCTGCTTGGTCCTCCAGTTTTTGCACCAGTCTCTTGTGTGGAACTGTGTCAAACGCTTTCTTGCAGTCCAAGAAAATGCAATCCACCCACCCCTCTCTCTCTTGTCTTACTGCTGTCACCATGTCATAGAACTCCAGTAGGTTTGTGACACAGGATTTCCCGTCCCTGAAACCATGTTGGCTGCTGTTGATGAGATCGTTCCTTTCTAGGTGTTCCACCACTCTTCTCCTGATAATCTTCTCCATGATTTTGCATACTATACATGTCAGTGACACTGGTCTGTAGTTTAATGCTTCGTGTCTGTCTCCTTTTTTAAAGATTGGGACTACATTTACTGTCTTCCATGCCTCAGGCAATCTCCCTGTTTCGATAGATGTTATTGAATATTGTTGTTAGGGGTACACATAGTGCCTCTGCTCCCTCTCTCAATACCCATGGGGAGATGTTATCTGGCCCCATTGCCTTTGACGGTATCTAGCTCACCTCAGAAGCCTCTTCACTTCTTCCTCGGTTGTGTGCACTGTGTCCGCACATGGTGGTGTGCCCCACCTCTCCGTCTTTCTGGAGCCCCTTCTGTCTCCTCTGTGAACACTTCTTTGAATCTCTTGTTGAGTTCCTCACATACTTCACGGTCATTTCTTGTTGTCTCTCCTCCTTCCTTCCTTAGCCTGATTACTGGTCCTTGACTGTTTGTTTTCCTCCTGATGTGGCTGTACAACAGTTTCGGGTCAGATTTGGCTTTCGCTGCTATGTCATTTTCATATTGTCTTTGGGCCTCCCTTCTTATCTGTGAATATTCGTTTCTGGCTCTATGACTGCTCTCCTTATTCTCCTGAGTCCTTTGCTTTCTATATTTCTTCCATTCCCTAGCACACTTGTGTGTGTGTGTGTGTGTGTGTGTGTGTGTGTGTGTGTGTGTGTGTGTGTTACCATTGTGTCCTAGGCACATGTCGATTAGACACTAGGTCTGTGGTATATGCATGTACTCACCTAATTGTGGTTGCAGGGGTCGAGACTCAGCTCCTGGCCCTTCCTCTTCACTGATCACTACTAGGTCCTCTCCCTCTCTGCTTCCTGAGCGTTGTCATACCTCTTCTTAAAACTATGTATGGTTCCTGCCTCCACTACTTCACTTGCTAGGCTATTCCACTTCCTGACGACTCTATGACTGAAGAAATACTTCCTAACGTCCCTGTGACTCGTCTGAGTCTTCAGCTTCCAGTTGTGACCCCTTGTTCCTGTATCCCCTCTCTGGAACATCCTATCTTTGTCCACCTTGTCTATTCCCTGCAGTATCTTGTATGTCGTTATCATGTCTCCCCTGACCCTTCTGTCCTCCAGTGTCGTCAGTCCGATTTCCCTCAGCCTTTCCTCGTACGACATTCCCCTGAGCTCTGGGACTAGCCTTGTTGCAAACCTTTGTACTTTCTCTATCTTCTTGACATGCTTGACCAGCTGTGTTTTCCAGACTGGTGCTGCATACTCCTGTATGGGCCTAACATACACAGTGTACAGTGTCTTGAACGATTCCTTATTAAGGTATCAGAACACTATTCTCAGGTTTGCCAGGCGCCCATATGCTGCAGCAGTTATTTGGTTGATGTGTGCCTCCGGTGACGTGCTCGGTGTTATGGTCACCCCATGGTCTTTCTCCCTGAGTGAGGTCTGTAGTCTTTGTCCACCTAGCCTATACTCTGTCTGCGGTCTTCTTTGCCCCTCCCCAATCTTCATGACTTTGCATTTGGCAGGATTGAATTCGAGAAGCCAGTTTCTGGACCACATGTCCAGGTCTCTTTGCAGTCCTGCCTCATCCTCATCCGATTTAATTCTTCTCATCAACTTCACATCATCTGCGAATAGGGACACTTCAGAGTCTATTCCTTCCATCATGTCGTTCGCATATATCAAAAATAGCACTGGTCCTAGAACTGACCCCTGTGGGATCCCGCTCGTCACAGGCGCCGACTGTGATACCTCTTCACGTACCATGACTCGTTGCTGCCTCCCTGTCAGGTATTCCCTGATCCACTGCAGTGCCCTCCCTGTTATATGCGCCTGATCCTCAGCTTCTACACTAATCTCTTGTGGGGAACTGTGTCAAAGGCCTTCCTGCAGTCTAGGAAAATGCAATCAACCCACCCCTCTCTCTCGTGTCTTACTTCTGTTATCTTGTCATAAAACTCCAGAAGGTTTGTGACATAGGATTTGCCTTCCATGAACCCATGCTGGTTTTCATTTATAATCTTGTTCCGTTCCAGGTGTTCGACCACTCTCCTCCTGATAATCTTCTCCATGACTTTGCACACAATACATGTCAGAGACACAGGTCTGTAGTTTAGTGCCTCATTTTTGTTTCCTTTCTTAAATATGGGAACTACATTTGCTGTCTTCCATTTCTCAGGCAGTTGCCCAGTTTCAAGGGATGTGTTGAAGATTGTGGTTAGAGGCACGCACAGCATCTCTGCTCCTTCTCTAAGGACCCATGGGGAGATGTCCGGTCCCATCGCCTTTGAGGTATCAAGGTCACTTAGCAGCTTCACCTCCTCCTTGGTTGTTCGTATGTCATCCAGCACTTGTTGGTATATTCCCTCTTGATGTTCCCTTCTGTTCCCTTCTGTGTGTGTGTGTACTTACCTAATTGTACTCACCTAATTGTGGTTTGCTAGGTCTGTGTTCTCAGCTTGCCTCGTTAGGTATTCCTGGATTATAATTGGTTCAGCCTGAATACCACAAGGTTATGATTGGTTATTGTCTCTCAGAGGTGAGGAGCTTGTTAGTGTCGGTGTGTGTTGTTCCTGCTTGTTGTGTGTGTCTGGCGTCCCTACTGCCCTTCCTACTGCTGTCTCCTACGCAGTTTCTCGCTCCTGAAGTTCTCCTAGAAGTTCTTGACTCCTCCTACATCTTTGACATCTTGCAGATTTAAGGAAGCTGAGGTATACAAAGGTTATAGTTAATCTGACTGTTAACCTGACTCACTAATAGAGCTCTCTCTTATATCAGTCTGTAAGGAAGCTATAAAACACAAGTATGAATATATACTGCGATACCTTTCTATGTTACTGACCTAAATAAACAAGCAAGGTATCTTGTACCTAGGTACATGTAACACTAGTGTACATAGAGAGGAGAGACGGAACTAATACTCTTCAAAAGCTCTTGTACTTTCGTGTATACAGGTACGTGAAACGCAACTAGTAGTACCCTTCCAAAGCTCAGGTGTTCTCGTTTATCTAGGTACATGATATACGATTTATAATACTCTTCTAAAGCTCTTGTACTTATATACATAGACATTATAACACTTGTACTCACAGCTCCACTTGTTTCAAAATACTTCATTCTTGTACAAAAGACTGTTGTTGCAAGGCAGACAAGATTTCCACCCAAAAAAAATTAAGTACAAAGATCGATCGCTAACGCATTCACCTCACACACTGAGGTCCGGGGTTGGAATCTCGGGTACGGCTGGAATACATTAGGACGTTTTTCCATAAGATACCTGCTGTCCCTCTTCACCCATCAGTTTAAAATGGGTATCTGGATGTTAGTGGACTGGTGTGGGTCGCATCCTGGGACAAAACTAACCTTATTTTCGGGAAATGCTCAGCATAACAAGTGGCTTTCTATAAAATAGTATGTTATTGATGTCAGCTATGGTCTGTATACCTTGTACATGTACTTGTAGAAATAATATTTAATATCTAAACTATTTAGAGCACCTCAGGGGACTCTGAATTTATTTTCTAACACGGAAGATAGAGTGGTATCATATATTCTAAGTAGGGTAAATATTATGCCAGATACCTGTCTTACACACTAAAATAACTAACTGGAGTATGAGATGTCAGAGGAAGTGAAATGTAAAAGGTGCCTTAAATACAATTAGAGTGAATCTTGTCAACATTCATGCTCCATTCATTCATCAAGGTTTTTAATACCATGGTGGCTGCTGGGGATTGTGCCTTAAATATTTTGTTCAGTTTTTAAGCAACTGGTGTTGCAAGATGATGATCTTGCAAGTGAATGTTGTCTTATGGAGGATTTCATTAGTTCACTTTACTGTGATCTCCATGGATCCAGGGATGATCTTATACACAAACAATGATGATCAAGTCATCCTGACTCTCACTCTCATACTTAGTTATGTATATTAACTCAAATTAAGTTTAATTAACAACTGTCCATTAATAAACAGAAAGATTCAGGTAGGGATCGAACCGCCGTCCTCACATTTACAGTCCGACACTCTACCGACTGAGCTAACCAAGAAAATTAATTAGAAGAATTCAGAATTAATTGTAATTGTATTACAGAACAGCACACAGCACAACGGTGCACAATACAGCTGTGTTATCCATCGTATTACCTTCAGTGTTATCTGCTATATTGGAATCAGCACATCATTCTTGATAACCAACTTCATGACGTTCTCTTTATCTGATAGTTCAGACCTTCTTAATCCCCCCACCCCTCTTAATCCCCCCCACTCCACACCACCCCACCCCCCACCAATGCCCCAACCCCAAACAACACCCCATCACCACCTCCCACCCCCCACCAACCACCAACCCCCCTACCTCTGTATCTCACTAAGTATTGATCACAAAAAAATTTTTTTTTGGTTCTATAACACTTAAAAAATATTCTTAAGATTTTTGTAAGAAAAAACAAAACTACTTCTTTATATATATATTTTTGGAGCCTCAGAACGAGTTCAGGACGAGGCGTCTCAACCCTGAAAGGCTTAAATAAGTTCTATTCATAAATTATTTGTTCTTTAATAGATTTTTTACAAAACAATTCTACACAGTAATTAGCACACTGACAAAATGAAAGTAAAGTTTGCCAATATTAATGTGTGTTGTTGCAACAGTACTTGTGTGAAGAAATGTGTTGTTGCAACAGTACTTGTGTGAAGAAATGTGTTGTTGCAACAGTACTTGTGTGAAGAAATGTGTTGTTGCAACAGTACTTGTGTGAAGAAATGTGTTGTTGCAACAGTACTTGTGTGAAGAAATGTGTTTGTTGCAACAGTACTTGTGTGAAGAAATGTGTTGTTGCAACAGTACTGTGTGAAGAAATGTGTTGTTGCAACAGTACTTGTGTGAAGAAATGTGTTGTTGCAACAGTACTTGTGTGAAGAAATGTGTTGTTGCAACAGTACTTGTGTGAAGAAATGAAACTGATTCCTTGTACGTTAAAATTTGGAAATAAGTCATATCTATAAAAGAACTTTCTGGGAAACTGAATGCAATAATAAATGAAACTGACTCGTTGTATAACTGAATATCAAGCTTATTTACTACAACCTCTGTTAACACTGTTAATTCACTTCAAACATCTTGTGGGTACTACAACGGATGTGATATTCAACACTATCGTACTGGTACTTTTGTCCTTCAGTGTTATCTTAGCTTCCTTTAGCTTCTCCTCGTTAACTCGTACCCTTTAGCTCTGGAACTAGCCTCAATGCGAAGGAATTCTTTGCACACTTGACATGTTGTATAAAGGGCTTAGAACTTGCACGAAAGTTTAGTAAGCAAAGGATGGACCTCTGTCGTCATCATCTTGGTCAGGATACTCAAAGTCTGTTGTTCTGACATCTTGATCTTCACCATATTGCAGAGCAAAGTCTGTCTGAATAAGTACATCCATCAAAGAGTCTTCCTTCTTAATGCTGAGAGGAACATAATGTACAAGGGAATATTCGTCGAGAACTCTACCCAGGGCCCGGGTCAACTTGTGATGCCTGCAATAAAAAAATCATCTCGTACATTTGTACATCACCACTGACAACACACAAGCATCATTGGCATCGCTTTTAAAGAGATTTTAGAAAATAGCCTTAGTTACCCCACTGTAAGATTAGTATTATTATTCACAAGTGATAAACCGCAATGGGTCATTCAGTGCTGAACCAAATGAGAAAACGTTACCAACAGTATACAGTCGTACCTTGAGTTTCAAACAGCTCCCAACTTGAATAATTATGTAAGTGTATTTTTGGGGGTCTGAAATGGACTAATCTAATTTACAGGTCTCCCTCAACATTCATGTTTTCAACTTTCACGGGCTTCACACATTCGCGAATTCCCAACCGCCAAATTCCCAGCCACCAAATTCCCAGCCGCCAAATCATATTTAAGTTTCCTGCCACCTGCGAGTCCCTACTACCCTCCCTCCGACCCCCGCAACTGGCAGCCAGCCCTCCCACCACTCAGTGTGGTGAGTGTTTTGTTTGTTCATTATTTGCTATTAAACTACAGAATAAATAATGTAAACCCATTCATGACTGCATATTGGAATGGCTATTAGGAAAGGTATTAGACGGTGACATCATGTGTTTACTCTTGAACACAGCAAAGAATTAAACATTTCTGCTACAGCTAATAATAACAATAGTAATAATAATAATAATAATAATAATAATAATAATAAATGATATAATTGAAGAAGGAAATTGTACAAAAATACGAGGGAGTGGTTGACACATCGTCAGTGTGACTTTGTTTATGCTGGAGTGAACATTAGTCTCCGTGCTCTTCCAAACATTTCACAATAATTCATTGTGTTTGGTGCTTGTAGATTGAGTGTGACTGGAGTGGTAGAGGCAGTGATTGAAGCAATGGTATTTAATAACATACATGTTAATAATAATACATGTTATTAATAATATGTACTATTATTATTTATAACATATATGTTATTAAATACATACATGTTAATAAATGTTAAAAGCAGGGGGGATATAGTGTTGGAGTGGTTGGTACTTTTGTTTAATAAATGTATGAAAGAGGGGAAGGTACCTAGGGATTGGCGGAGAGCATGTATAGTCCCTTTATATAAAGGGAAAGGGGACAAAAGAGATTGTAAAAATTATAGAGGAATAAGTTTACTGAGTATACCAGGAAAAGTATACGGTAGAGTTATAATTGAAAGAATTAGAGGTAAGACAGAATGTAGAATTGCAGATGAGCAAGGAGGCTTCAGAGTGGGTAGGGGATGTGTAGATCAAGTGTTTACATTGAAGCATATATGTGAACAGTATTTAGATAAAGGTAGGGAAGTTTTTATTGCATTTATGGATTTAGAAAAGGCATATGATAGAGTGGATAGAGGAGCAATGTGGCAGATGTTGCAAGTTTATGGAATAGGTGGTAAGTTACTAAATGCTGTAAAGAGCTTTTATGAGGATAGTGAGGCTCAGGTTAGGGTGTGTAGAAGAGGGGAGAATACTTCCCGGTAAAAGTAGGTCTTAGACAGGGATGTGTAATGTCACCATGGTTGTTTAATATATTTATAGATGGGGTTGTAAAAGAAGTAAATGGTAGGGTGTTCGGGAGAGGGGTGGGATTAAATTATGGGGAATCAAATTCAAAATGGGAATTGACACAGTTACTTTTTGCTGATTATACTGTGCTTATGGGAGATTCTAAAGAAAAATTGCAAAGGTTAGTGGATGAGTTTGAGAATGTGTGTAAAGGTAGAAAGTTGAAAGTGAACATAGAAAAGAGTAAGGTGATGAGGGTATCAAATGATTTAGATAAAGAAAAATTGGATATCAAATTGGGGAGGAGGAGTATGGAAGAAGTGAATGTTTTCAGATACTTGGGAGTTGACGTGTCGGCGGATGGATTTATGAAGGATGAGGTTAATCATAGAATTGATGAGGGAAAAAAGCTGAGTGGTGCGTTGAGGAATATGTGGAGTCAAAAAACGTTATCTATGGAGGCAAAGAAGGGAATGTATGAAAGTATAGTAGTACCAACACTCTTATATGGATGTGAAGCTTGGGTGGTAAATGCAGCAGCGAGGAGACGGTTGGAGGCAGTGGAGATGTCCTGTCTAAGGGCAATGTGTGGTGTAAATATTATGCAGAAAATTCGGAGTGTGGAAATTAGAAGGTGTGGAGTTAATAAAAGCATTAGTCAGAGGGCAGAAGAGGGTTGTTGAGGTGGTTTAGTCATTTAGAGAGAATGGATCAAAGTAGAATGACATGGAAAGCATATAAATCTATAGGGGAAGGAAAGAGGGGTAGGTTTTGTGGGTGAGGGGCTTGGACTTCCAGCAAGCGTGCATGAGCGTGTTAGATAGGAGTGAATGGAGACGAATGATACTTGGGACCTGACGATCTGTTGGAGTGTGAGCAGGGTAATATTTAGTGAAGGGATTCAGGGAAACCGGTTATTTTCATATAGTCGGACTTGAGTCCTGGAAATGGGAAGTACAATGCCTTCACTTTAAAGGAGGGGTTTGGGATATTGGCAGTTTGGAGGGGTATGTTGTGTATCTTTATACGTATATGCTTCTAAACTGTTGTATTCTGAGCACCTCTGCAAAATCAGTGATAATGTGTGAGTGTGGTGAAAGTGTTGAATGATGATGAAAGTATTTTCTTTTTGGGGATTTTCTTTCTTTTTTGGGTCACCCTGCCTCGGTGGGAGACGGCCAACTTGTTGAAAAAAAAAAATGTTAATAATAATACATGTTATTAATAATAACATGTACTATTATTATTTATAACATACATGTTATTAAATACCACTGCCTCAACCGCTGAATTATTGTGAAATGTTTGGAAGAGCAGGGAGACTAATGTTCACTCCAGCATAAACAAAGTCACACTGACGATGTGTCAACCACTCCCTCGTATTTTTGTACAATTTCCTTCTTCAATTATATCGTATTTATTATTATTATTATTATTATTATTATTATTATTATTATTATTATTGTTATTATTAGCAATAGCAGAAATGTTCGATTCTTTGCTGTGTTCAAGAGTAAACACATGATGTCACCGTCTAATACCTTTCCTAATAGCCATTCCAATATGCAGTCATGAATGGGTTTACATTATTTATACTGTAGTTTAATAGCAAATAATGAACAAACAAAACACTCACCACATAGTGGTGGGAGGGCTGGCTTCCAGTTGCGGGGGTCGGAGGGAGGGTAGTAGGGACTCGCAGTGGTGGAGTCTGTGGTATTTAATAACATACATGTTATTAACATACATGTTGTTAAATAACATACGTTATTAAAGCATAACATGTATATATTTAGTACAATTTACAACGTTTTCATGTATTTTATGATTGTTCATGGTTCAACAAGTTAAGGAAGCAGTATTGTAATATATTTCCCTACAATATATTGGGGCACCAAACATTCACGGTTTTTCAACTTTCGCGAGGCTCTTGATCCCCTAACCCTCATGAATGTTGAGGGAGACCTGTACATTATTTGTTCGGTAACGGCACTCAACCTTCTGGAATGAATTAAGTTCATAACTCGAGATACCACTGTATGTTAAATCCTAATTTAATTGGTCAAGTTTGCCATTATTTTGTTTAAAAATAGAACTTGGGGAATGATGGGTAACTAAGTTTGATACAGGGAAGGGAAGGATAGCTCCACTTAGTCAGTCAAGAAACATCTACCATCATCAATAGAGAAAAATAAAAATCTTACTTTTTATTGAACTTAGAAGTGGCATGTTGTGAGTGTAGCAACTGTCGTACCTCCGGAACAAGGAACATCTCAAGGTGTTGTTGTGCCGCCTTGTTCAGTAAGTCCATCTTGGTCAGCACATTTGTGTGAGGAACCTGACAACACAACACTTGAGTCACATGCTCTGATAACACTAGTGAAGATGATGTACTAACAACACTATTGAACATTATATACTGACAGCAATAGTGTCTTGTTCTTCACAGCAGTCATGGAGACAATATCAACAGACTCACTTTCAGTTCATCTTTCTCACTGTTTATCTTACCCTGCTATCTTTTTTTTTCTCTTTCTACTGGTCACTCCATCTGTTCATACTGCAAGTTGCTCCCTAAATGAGCTTATTTATGTTCATGTTATTATAGCAAGTTATAGATCTACTCAGCCTTTCAAATACATTTCTATGACATTCAGATTCATTAGTCATTTCTAATACTATTTCTAGTACCTGATACAAAGAGACCAAGGTTTTATTTTGCCCTGTCTTTCAAAATACTTTCTTTGGTATGTATAATTCAGTGAGATTAAATCCATACAAACTGTACATCAATTCCTTTCTCTCCAGTTTTCTAATATTTGTACGTGGCTGCTTCAATAAGTATGTTGTTGAAAGTCCTTATGCAACCATCAACTTTTAGTGTCAGAGCCTCAACCATCCACCTCAGCATCAACCATCCACCTCAGCATCAACCATCCACCTCAGCATCAAGCATCCACCTCAGCATCCTTCTACACTGTTCACCATCATCGACATGCACCAACAATCACAATTTAAGGTAAGATTATTTCTGTAACATTTGTAGATTTAATCAATGCATTAAACATAATACATCTCGACAACCAACTATAGTTACATTATTATTTTTGGGGGGTCCAAGGAATGCAAAGCAGTACATAAAAAAATTCAGGTTGAAATTCTCAGCAAAGCATCAAAGCATCACTTACAGCTGCCATTATTTAATGATTAACACATTAATTGCAAAGCAATATCTTTATCCTTAACAACCTGCTCCTTTATAGGAAACTTCTCCTGTTTTCGTAGCAGATAACCTAAGCTAGCCAGGACCACCAGAAGGTATCCCTCAGCTACTAGGTCTTTGCCTAAGCTAGCCAGGACCATCACAAGGTCCCCTTCAGCAGTAGTAAGCATAAAAGAACAAGGTTACCTCCAAATACGCCATCATACATCCCATAAAGTGTAGGAAAACTCTTTCCCAGTCAAGATGGTCCAAAAGACTGGGACAGATCTAACTGTAAAGCTCTTGTCTAGCATATTTAGAGCAGTGATGCGACCATGGCCAAAAGTTGGTGCCAATAAATGGATAATAGCCACACTACCACCATCTTTTATGACAAGCAGAAAACTACAAGCATTACACTATCCACAAACATTAAATTCTGAGAATGAGTGTCACAATACTGTGGCTGGAACAATACACAAATAACCCACATTTAAGAGGCTGAAACTTGTGATGTTTTGGTCTGACTTGGACCATTAACAAATCTGTATGATATTACTGGTCCAAGTCGGACAAAAACATGAGGATAAGTTTCAGTCTCCTACGTGTGGATTACCTGTGTATTAAAATGAGGGATTTTATGAGTTTTTTTTCATTTCATATAAATGAAGCTATTGCTAAATTTTCCCTGTAAAATGCAGTGTAGAAAACAAGTTTGATTAAAAATTCTGGTAACTGATGTGTTTCTACACAATATAATAACTCTGCTATTTATGTGATCATTCTGTGCTCCTGGTAATAACTATGCAAAACACACACACAAAGTAAAACTGTGTACACTGGAGCCTTGTTTTTTGGCTGCTTTGTTTATCAGTCGATTCATACTTAGGCCAATTTTTGGGAGAAAATTTTGCTCCATATTTCTGCCGGCGCCTCGTAAGTCGGTGGTATTAGATGCATTAGCCCGCCTCTTCCGCAGGGACGCCGCACTTTGGTGAGTTAGTTTCCCTGTGTCTCTTGGTGAATGAGCATATACTCCACGCATTCATCCAAACATTTCCTTAAAATCCATTGGTTTTTGTGATTCTTTATTAAGTGCGACTGTGAAATAAGCCACCATGGGACCAAAGAAACTTCCTAGTGCTAGACCTTTGGTAAAGAAAGTGAGAAACACTATAGAATTGAAGAAAGAAATTGTAGCAAGGTACGAAAGTGGAGGAGGAAGAGAGGGGGAAGAATGTGCCTTCTTCAGTGATTCTACAATATGTACAATACTAAAGCAGCAGGAGTCACAGGTTCTAACCTCACCCGTGGTATGGTTAGCTTTTTTTTTAAAAGTAAAAATAATATTACCGAGTAAGCGGCAGTCACCGATGTTACTCTAAGTGGTTAACTTTCTGTCAACTTCTCGCCTCTATATTTTGGTAAGTATTTATCACAAAAAAATATTTTTTTTTCCGTTTTAAAACTCGGAAAAATATTCTTAAGATTTTGGTAAGAAAAATATTTTTTTTTTTCAAATATTTTTTGACACTGAGAGCAGGTTTATAATCAGGGCTGTCGACAGTGAAAAGATTAAATAAAAGTTCATTGAATTGATGGTCTACACACACACACAAATGACTGCACTGATGGACTACTGAACATTCTAAGAATAAGGTAATTTACTGCACTGTACAGTAAATTACCCGACCTGAAAAGAAGAGAGTTTAAAGTACAGTAGAGTATCCCAACTGTTTTGGATACTTTTTTTGATGTGTTTTGGATATGGGTGCTGAAACTCAGGTTGTTGTTGAGGTATAGGCCTAGGAATTTGCCCTCATTATGAGCTTACAGTAGGTATATTCCTGTGACTTCTAGTGGCTGAGTCAGAGAAGCTGTGTAGCTCCAGCAGTAACATCACAAATCAAATCAAAGTTTATTCTCTATAAGGATTACAATGCGGGGTTTACAGATTTTGGTTATTGTGTGGTTTACATGTAATAAAATACTAATTACAGAGGGGGCCACTAGAACACCTAGCAAGGCTAGGCATTTCGGGCAAACTTAGATTAATTCGTAACCCTAAATTATTACAAATTGTGGAGTAAGTTGACTAAATACTAGTATGTGAGTTTAGCAATGTGAATGCTTTTGTTTTGGCGCAATACAAAGTTTCTATATTGGAGTATCACAGGCAAACTTGTGACTAGTTAGGAATCATTATTTTAAGATTAAGATATGTATTTCTGTGCTTATAGTCAAATTGGTGAGTGAGTGAGTGTAAGTGTGAACCACCAGGTGGTTTTTATGTAGTTAATTGATGGGGTGTATCAGGGAGATAAGATGTTTTCTAACGGTAGTTTTGAAGGTGATGAATGTGTCTGCAGTTCTAGAGTTCTCAGGTAGGGTGTTCCAGATTTTAGGGCCTTTGACGTACATTGAATTTTTGTAAAGGTTTAGTCGGACACGGGGAATGTCGTAGAGATGCTTGTGTCTGGTGTTATGCTTGTGGGTCCTGTCACATCAAGAAAGCATTTTAGGTCAAGGTTAATATTGGAATTTAAGGTCCTGTATATGTGGAGTGCACAGAAGTGTCGATGTTCTGAACAGGGAGTAAGTTTAGATCTACGAAGAGTGGGGGGGGGGGTGTTGCCATTGATGGAATTTAGTGATTATTCTTACTGCGGCTTTTTGTTGAGTTATTATTGGCTTTAGGTATGTTGCTGCAGTTGAACCCCAAGCACAAATAGCATAGGTGAGGTATGGATAAACGAGTGAATGGTATAGTGTGAGAAGGGCATTTTGCGGCACGTAGTATCCCAACTGTTTTGGATACTTTTTTTTGATGTGTTTTGGATATGGGTGCTGAAACTCAGGTTGTTGTTGAGGTATAGGCCTAGGAATTTGCCCTCATTATGTCTGGCAATTAGAGTGATGTCAATCTTAATGTTTAGTTGTGCAGCACCTGCTCTGCTACCAAACATAATATAGTAGGTTTTGTCTGTGTTAAGTGTAAGTTTATTGGCTGTCATCCAAGTTGTTATTTTGAGCAGCTCCTCATTAACAATGGTGTTGAGGGTGGCAAGATTAGGATGAGAGATGACATAAGTTGTGTCATCAGCAAAGAGAATGGGTTTCAGGTGTTGGGATACGTTTGGAAGATCATTGATGTGTATGAGGAAGAGCAGGGGTCCAAGGACACTTCCCTGTGGAACTCCAGTATCAAGTGGCCATGTTGATGATGCTGTGTCTTTAATGGTGACATACTGACATCTATTAGTAAGGTAGGATTTGAAATATGCAAGCGCATGGCCTCTTATACCATAATGGTCAAGTTTGTGGAGTAGGATGCCGTGGTCTACTGTGTCAAAAGCTTTTCTTAGGCCAATAAAACTTCCTAGTGGATATTCCTTATTTTCCAATGTGGAAGACATACAGGTTGATGGTGTGGGAAATGTAGAGTAGGTTATGTGGGAGATGTAGAGTAGATTATGTGGGAGATGTATAGTAGATGGTTGAGGAGATGCCAGAATCCATCATCCTTTTTAATTCAGGTTTCATCTCAACAGAGTTATACATTATCACTTGCCTTTAGAGTTCTTTCTTAATAACATAATTAAATAAAATAATGATAATCACTGTAAATCCAGGGAAAACTGGAGACCAAATGATAGTACATGAGCATATGAGCAGCCTATAACCAACTCATGCAGGCTGAGCCAGTCATCGTGTACAATGGAAACAGGCAGGTCATGGACACAAACTGTACTGGACAGACCTGAGATGAAGCAGACATGGTCTGCTGCATTGATGGTACTACCAAACACCTCCCATAGAGACTTGGTCCACTGCCTTGGCAATTCAACCAAACATCCCCATGCAGCGGACTCGCTGAGCCTTTGTTCAGAAAGATTTTTTGTTTGTTTTATTCAAAATTAATTTCATATATCAGAACTCTGTCCTTTAGTCCTGTACCTTAGAGGTATGAAGATGGACTGCTCTATCATTACACATCTTGTCGATGATTCAGTGCATAGGGGTATTTTATACCGAAGTTCTACTGGACCATTATTAAAAGTGGAGCTCTGAACCTATTTAGGTTATTCAGCATAAATGTTAGAAGCTACAAGACACGCGACATTAACCCGTAAATGGTCCAAGCAGATCTACGTTCACATGTGTAGTGCTACAAAAGTAGATCTACATTTTTATTACATATTTTCAAATGTAAAAAAAAAAAATGTAGATCAAAGTTTTTTACACATTTTCAAATGTAAAAAAAACAAAAAGATCTACTTTTTTTACTTTTTTTGAAAAAAAAAACGTATGTATACGTTTGGACCGTTTACGGGTTAATACCAAAATATACAGAGGTAAGTTTATTTCTAAGGAGAAATTATTATTATAATAGAATGAAAACTCATTAGGGTCATAAAGTATCAGTGTAACTGGAGGTGATGAGCTTTGATTCATGGGGACGGAGGTTCCGATTCCATGGATCACAACCCCTTAACCTGCCTCTCTATCTCTATCATGACCCCCCCAACTGAGGGGAGGAGTCATGGCTAATAATGTAAACAAAATAGAGAGGCACACGAAATGAACCAGAAATAAATATACAATTGTGTCTACTAGTAGTAGTAATAATAATAATATAATACATTTACTAACTTCAAGTTGCACCATTGTGGCTAGAGCAGCAATGCTCCAAGAGAGGAATTTGGTAGTATCGACCATGTA